TGCTTCTCATTCCGACCCTGTCCCTTCCTCCTCCTCTTTCAACTCCGCTTCCGGTAGTAGGCCTCCGAAGGACAATAAGAAGTCCGAGGCCAGCTCCGTTAAACCGGACCTCTCATCTAAACTCGGAGACAACGGCAAGCTCATGCCACAAGAGTGTAAGCGTTGTCTCGACGAGAAACTTTGTATGTTCTGCAGTCAGTCTGGCCACATGGTCAAGGACTGTCCCAAGTCTTCTTCTCACGCGTCTAAGGCCCGTTCGGCCCAGACTGAGGAGCAAGGATCCGCTTCCGCAGAAGCAAAAAATTAGTCCACACCCCCGTGGACTCCACACGGACCGGGGGTTGCGATCCTTCCTTCCGTGCGCTCAAAGAAGTGCGTTTAAATGTGTCTTCCATTTCCGACTTATCCTCCCTCCACATTCCCGTTTCCTTTTCTCTTTCAAATGGTCTATTTTCTCCCCTCAATGTTGACCCTTCGGTTAATGTTCTACCCGTTGTAGATAGTGTTGCTGATGTACCACTCTCTCTTCCGCCCCCTCCGACTACTTCCGTAGATCGATCTACCTCTCTCCGCTTCTCTTCTTCCTCTCCTTCTGTTTCTCCTCCGTCCAATATTAGGACACAAAATAAACTTTTCCGCTCCTATGAGAACGTACCCGCACTCGTAGATTCTGGGTCTTCGGACTGCTTCATCGATGACACATTCGTAAAAAAGCTGGCCTTGAAGACATACCAGATTAAACCCCTACAACTACGCCTATTCGATGGTAGCACCAACTCAATCATAACCCGTGCCGTTGATATTCCCCTCCGCTTCGCTTCCGGAAACATCACCCCCACGACTTTCTTTGTCACATTGCTGGATGGATCATGTTCCCTAGTCCTAGGACACAACTGGCTTACCCGCTACAATCCGTTGATTGACTGGGTCTCAAGCAGTATTACGTTCCGAACTTCCGAACCTACCAAGACAGTTACTCCGAGCTCTCCCCCGTCGTCTCCAGCACCACCGCCGTCGTCCGACATCCAACCATCTGATGTTTCGCCAGCACCTCAGTCACAGGCTGTTACTCCTCCGTTACCATCTATCGAGTTCGTCAGCCATTCCGCATTTGCGAAGGCTTGCTGACTTGAAGGATCGGTATCCTTCAGCCTAACCATCCCTTCCGAGGAAAGCTGCTTGAGGGCTGCCTCATCCCACACCGATTCCGTCGACCTCTCGGCCGTTCCGAAGGAGTATCACGAGTTCGCAGATGTGTTCAGTAAGAGCAAAGCCTCGACGCTGGCACCGCACCGTGAGCACGACCTAAAGATCGACCTTGAGGGAGGCACCTCCCCACCCTTGGGTACCATGTACTCTCTCTCTACTTCGGAACTCGAGGCCCTCCGGGCATTCTTAGATGAACACCTGGCCTCCGGGTTCATTTGCCCCGCTACTTCCGCTCACGCGGCACCGGTCCTCTTCATCCGCAAGAAGGACGGATCCCTCCATCTTTGCGTCGACTTCCGAGGGCTGAACAAGATCACCAAAAAGGATCGCTACCCACTTCCCCGCATCTCTGACCTCCTTGACGCACCTAGCCATGCCACGGTCTACACCAGACTCGACCTCCGGCATGCTTACCACCTGGTTCGCATTGCAGCAGGCGACGAATGGAAGACCTCTTTCCGCACGCGCTATGGTTCCTATGAGTGGCTTGTCATGCCATTCGGTCTCACGAACGCACCTGCGACTTTCCAGCGATTCGTCAACACGATCTTTGCCGACCTCTTGGACATTTCTGTGGTAGTCTACCTAGATGACATCCTTACCTACTCGGAAGACATGGCTTCGCATCAGGAGCATGTCTGAGAAGTTCTTAGGAGACTCCGCAAACACGGCCTATACGCCAATCTGAAGAAATGCGAGTTTCATACAGACACTACGGAATATCTCGGTTACTGCCTCTCTCCTTCCGGACTCACCATGTCCATCGAGAAGGTCAAAGCCGTCCAAGATTGGCCCGAGCCCTGTAAAGTCAAGGATGTCCAATCCTTCCTTGGCTTCGCTAACTTCTATCGGCGTTTCATTCACCAATACTCCGACATTGTGGTCCCCTTGATGCGCCTCACGCGTAAAGGAGCCCCCTGGCTATTCTCTGACGATTGTTGCTCTGCTTTCAACACCTTGAAAGAAGCCTTCACTTCTGCTCCTATCCTCACACATTGGCTACCCGATGCCCCCCTCATCGTAGAAACCGACGCCTCCGATTACGCGATCTCCAGAATCCTTTCCATTCACTGTGATGACGGAGAGATTCACCCCGTCGCTTTCCGCTCTAGAACACTCTCGGCGCCGGAGCTCAATTACGACACCCATGACAAGGAACTGCTCGCCATTCATGATGCGTTCCGATCATGGCGTCATTACCTCGAAGGTTCGGGAACCCCAATCAATGTTGTCACCGACCACAAAAACCTCGAGTATTTCTCCACCACCAAACTCTTGACCTGGCGGCAAGCCCGCTGGTCAGAGTTCCTCTCCCAATTCCACATGACAGTCCGATTCCGTCCCGGAAGACTCGGAGTTAAACCAGATGCGTTGACTAGACGCTGGGATGTCTATCCCAAAGAAGGGGATATGGACTACGCTCGCGTCAATCTGCAGAACTTCCGACTGGTCTTCACTTCGGAGCAGCTCACTGCATCCTTACGAGCTATGTTCCTAGCTGCCACAGTAATCTGAGCAGCCATACTCGTTGACACAGAGGCTCTTCATCGAGACATCCTAACCTCCCTCTCCTCCGACACCACAATCTCTTCTCATCTCGCTTCCCCCAACCCCCCCAATTCCCGCTGGTCCATTGATGCCGAAGGCCTCTTAAGGCTGGACAATCGCATTTACGTTCCGGACTCTAACGACCTCCATCTCCACGTTTTGCGAGACAAACACGACCACCAACTTTCCGGACACTTCAGGCAAAACCGGACTCTGGATCTAGTACGTCGTGAGTATACCTGGCTGGGCATCCGTAACTTCGTCAAGAGTTACGTATCCTCCTGCACTTCTTGTGCCTGTGCCAAGGTCCCCCGTCATAAGCCTTACGGCTTACTCAAACAACTCCCCATCCCCGAACGTCCTTGGAACTCCATCTCCATGGATTTCATCGAACAGCTACCCTCCTCTTCCGGATTCACTTCCATCTTGGTCATCATGGACCGCCTGTCCAAACAGTGCATTTTCATCCCTACCCACGATACCATCACCTCTCTGAAACTGGCCAAGCTCTTCCTCCTCCATGTGTTCTCCAAGCACGGAGTTCCATCCCACGTCACCTCCGACAGGGGTCCGGAGTTTGTCTCTCATTTTTTCCGTTCACTTGGTAAGGCCCTCGACATCCACCTCCACTTCACCTCCGGTTATCACCTGGAAGGAGACGGTCAGACCGAACGGATGAACCAGACGCTCGAGCAGTACCTGCGCATCTACAGTAACTACCAGCAGGACAATTGGTCCGAACTCCTGCCTCTCGCAGAGTTCGCATACAACAACGCTCCGAATGCCACCACGGGCGTCTCCCCATTCTTCGCCAACAAAGGCTACCATCTGAACATCACCGTCCACCCGGAGCGAGACCTGACATCAGTACGCGCCCAAGAGTACTCCGTCGATCTCGACTCCCTCCACCACTTCCTTCGCGAGGAAATGCATCTCGCTCAGATCCGCTATCAGGGCCCGGCAGACTCCCGTTGGAGCCCTGCCCCAGCTTTCGAAGTAGGAACCTCGGTCTATGTAAAGGCCAAGTACTTCCGCTCCACCCGACCTTCCAAAAAGCTCTCCAAGAAAAACCTCGGCCCATTCGAGATCATCGCCCGCGTTGGAACTCACTCCCTCACTCTCCGCCTGCCGGAAAACATGCGAGCCATTCACCCGGTATTCCACGTCTCGCAGATTGAACCCTCCGTCCCGAACACCATTCCGAACCGCCACCAGCCACCTCCGCCTCCCATAGAAATCGAAGGCGAGATCGAGTTCGAGATCGAGGAGATACTCGACTCCAAGATCGACCGACGTAGACGCAACAAGTTGCTCTACCTGGTCAAGTGGCTAGGCTATGAAGGGACCGATGAGGAGACACAATGGCTCCTTGCTGGCGAACTCGATCATGCCTCCGACCTCATCGAAGCGTTCCACTCTCGGTACCCAGCGAAGCCTGGACCCGAAGCTCCTTAGGAACCCCGACTCCTCTCCCATTTCTCCTTTCCCCTCCACTCCTCACTTCCGTTTTTTCATTTTCATTTCCTCATTTGCTTTTCTTTCTGTAAGTGCAGCTCCCCTCATCTTACTAATTCTGGGCCTTCAAGGGTTCAGGCCTAAGAAGGGGATACTGTCATATCCATCCCCGGCCATTGACTCCCGGTCCCTCCGATCCCTCCGGTCTAACTCCGCTCCTTCCTCACTAACCTCGGAGCTCCTGTATTCCGTAATCCTCTCGGTACCCCTCGATGGTCACCACCCCCTCTTTTCAATTTATTACCTACGCCTCCCTAAGTACGGAGCCCCGAAGACTTCCGGACAGCTCCAACGTCCGCTAGCGCACTCCCGCCTCCGCTGGGCAATACACTCGCCTGCCCTGCAGAGCCCACCTTTGGGCCTATCCTCCTTTCCGTTTCTGGGTTATCGCCTGCCTTCCTGCTAACCCTGCAACCCAACTCGTCGGTAATATTCAGTTGGCTAATGTTTAACCCCGTTAGCTCCGCTCCGTTCAGCTCCGCCAATTGCGGACCCATCTCCGCTGTAACCATATATATATCCAACTTGTACATAGGTTACACTCCAGTAATAAAACCAACTAGAGTTACCCCCCTTCGGTTCTGATTGCCAGTCAGTAAGTTAGGGCACGGATGTGTCACTAGGCACAGCGCTCTTGGCATAAGTCGCTGAGGCCAAAGCCCTCCGCTATGGAGACTCTCCCTCGTCTCGAATCCGGTCTCTGACAAATATAGCAAATAAGTCCTAACTCATGCCATCTTCCAAAACAGCTCGGTACAGATACGTGCCCACCTCTTTGACTTCTTAACCGAGAACTCCTCAATGTCAATCAAGTGGTTCTCGTGAATGAAGCTGAACTGTGAAGCCGAAAACTCGGTTTTATCATTGGCAATAGTCTCAAGTGCACAATGAATCTAGTAGGTGATCATTAGAGTGCACGGCATGTTGGGTTGCAAACAACTTACTGCTGAGAGGGCAAGAGCAATCAGCTCATGGTGGTCATTGAAGTTCTTGAATTCATCCAGATATGATTCACCTAAGGTCCGCGAGATGTACTGAAATTTGAATTGGAAGAAAACTGTGATGACATCGGAAATCACAGGGTTTTCATACGGTCCCTCCTTCTAGACACAGGGACAATGTCAGTATCCAAATGATGACAGAGCACGTAATATCATACTGAAGCATGGTTGTGCCAAACATACTTGAACCCATCCATAAGTTGTGTTGCCATCTCAACCTGCTCTGTCCCATCTAAGCTAGCAAAATGGTAGTGGCACTTGACAGCCTGGATTGCTCGGGTCCGGAATCTGTTGCGGAAGTTGGACACAATCCTAACCAGCTATGGGGGTGATGATACAATCTCACTCAATCGAGAAATGTGAATATTACACACCGTTGTTATCATAAGCAGTTTCACTGTAAATTGGTTGTTGTCAGGGACAGCTCCGAAAGCGTGAAGTCCCGGCACAAGGGATCCGATGGGACAGATGTCAGCTGTGCATAGCGGCAATCCCATCACAGGGGAGCGTCCCCAACCACTTAGTCTGAAGTGGGAAGTTGAGAAGAAGGCTGCTTCTTCTGTTCCCACCCCAGGTGCTATTATATCCATGCAGTCAGGGTCATGTGGGGGGAGCCATGTCATCTCCGCACACAGCCAGACCTCTCTGGGTGCCTCCACGGGAGATCCCAAAGGTGTGCTGCTCTGTAGGTGGGAATGCGTGTGGTGGGTGCGGCGATCAGGGGAGCGGCATTAGGTGTGTAATGATACATAGAGAAAAGGGAAGTTGACCATGGAATAGAAATAGAGACAAAGAAGAAAAAGGGAGAGGAGGAACGAGTAGTGGTAGCGGGGGGAGCGGAGTAGGGCAGGGCGGCGCAGGGTGCGGTGCTGGGTCAGGCGGGGTGTGCCCTGACAGTTGTGTGGTAATCCAAGCCTTTGAGCAGTTGCCACCAGAGCATCATGGGCAAAACGAGTGTGGATGGATGTGTCTTCATATCGTATCCCATTGGGCTTGTGCATACCTAGGGACCAAGGGTTCCCTGCAATGAGCCAGGAATTCAATGCGGGACTGAGTGATGACAGAAAAGGTTTCATCATCTCCCTGGTGCCAAAACTCCAGTGTGGCATCTTTTGATGTTGGCTCACCCTCTGCCTGCTGCTTCCTCTTCCTGACAGGCAGCTTTGGCCCAAGATTGGCAACGCCATGCACTACCACAGATTCCACATGGGATGGAATGGGGGAACTGGGGTGTTCATCAGAAGCCAGATTGGAATCCTGGTTTGTTGCTGGGTTGCAGCTGAGTGGGTCATGGCTGAGTGGACTGGAAGAGAAGTTATATGAAGCCCAGGAGTACAATAAATTATAGGTAATATTGTGATAACAATAAGTACTCACCTGTCATGGGATGTTTCGACTTGAGTCTGAGTTGTAGACTAGAACACACCCCCTTGACGACCCTGCATTTTGCTCAAGTTGTTTCCATGATCCTGCCATTGCTGCCCCTTGAGTGTGTGCGAGGGACAAAGGCACACCTGCTAATGGGGAAATAAGACCCTGTGACAGTACACAATGGGAGTGTGGCAGATTGGTACATACCTTCATCATCAGATCCATCATGGCCACTGGCGTCAGATGCCGGTTCGGTGTGGCAGCAGGGGAGTCGGTCTAGCATTGGGGAACCACGGGCAAGTGGGGGGTGAGTGGGGAGTCCTCAAGGAGGATTGTTATGGAAATGGGAATTTCCCATTTTAGACTCTTATGGGCTCTGTGCACTGCCATATCACATGATTTGTAAAATAATTAAGTTTAACGAATCAACAATTACCAAAAAACCCGCTGTGCTAACATCTGTTAAACCTCATGTTACAACATCTGTGAAACTACCTGTAAAGCCTAATGAATCACCCCACCTCCACTTTCCACTTTCCTGCGCCAAGAACGGACGAAAATGGGCGCCCCCGGCCCCATTTTTGTAACAAGGATAGGGATGAGGGTTGGGGCTTGTGCTCACGCTCGCACAGCGGGAACGGGCTTGGGCAGCATCAGGATGGGCAGGGAACAGGCCAGAATGCACAGCCATGACAGTCTGAGAGCCATGCTGGCCTGGCTTGAGCATGGCTTTGAGACTTTGTGGCACGACGGCGACCAGCAGTGGGGGTAACTAACAGGAGGATCAGTAAGGGTTGGGATTGAGGGAGGCAGCCACTGACGATGTCTTGAGTGATTTCCACCTGGCTGTAATGTTTCCTTCTGCACTCTTGCAAGATGACGTTTTTTTGACTTTGCCACATCCGCTTCATGGGTGGCAATTGCAAGAGTGGGGTGTCGACGTCGCTTGCCAGCAGCAGCAGCAGCAACTGTGGTGTTACTGAATTGGAATGGGGGGTCGCTGTTGGAACCGTTGTCAAGGGAAGCTGTTTGTAGATGTCTCTGTCGCTGAGCCTGGTTGGCCCTTGGTGGCATTGCCAATACCAGGTGCTAGTAGAAAGGAGTCAGGACAAAGTAAAGGGGAGGAACTGATGTAAAAAAAAAAGCTTATATACATGTGATGAAAAAAAAGTTCCGCCACATGCTGAAAAAAAATTAAAATTTGGGCCACATACCACCTCTGCTCCCAGGACCCATTCCAATGCACTCAGCTAAGCGCCACTGCGGCAAGGCATCTTCCAGCCTGAAACCAGTCACTGACTCTATCAAGTATTCTTGTGACTACTGCATCGAAAGGCAGACATTCGCCACAAACCATGCACTGCAAAGTCACATATCAGCTTTGGCAGGATGTCTTCAAAGGAAATTGGCTGGAATGGCCCACTATGCTGGCTCCAATCAAGCAATGAACTCGACAGCTGAACACGACGATACAGTGCTCAGCATCTATGAACCTATGGACCATCAATTATACAAAGTCTCAGATGTTGGACCAACACTGGTATATGATCCTTCAAGTTGTATGCTTGATGATTCGGAAGATGAAGCCGGAATCACTGCCTCCAATGCTTCAAGTTCTCCAAGCCTAAATGATATTGGGGATGACTCAGATAAGGGTGAGGATGGAGTGCCTGTCGACTCACCAAACCCCGGCTTCCATCGGCTAAGTGGCATGCAGAGTGCAGTGAATTCTTTTGTTGTATTTAGACAGGAAAGCCAAACAAGGGTTAAGCCTGCAACGGTGTCAGGGCAACCACACCTGACCATACAACCCCAGAACCACCTTCCCTGACCCCCCCCCACTTCCCTCATCCTCCCATCTTTACACACCTCTCCCAACTACAGCCCACACGCGAACCTGTGGGAAAAATCACGTGGGTCAAGGCGAGCAACTCGCCTTAACCCATGTGACACCTTTTCCGCATCGTGGGAACATGCTCAGCTTCTACCCATAGTCACGTTACGAACTGTACAGTACATTTCCCTTTTATAGCAGCCAAGCAGGGAATAGGGAAACTTACCCTTCTTCTCAACTCAATCCCCGCTTAGGCAAGTTGTAGCTACCTTCCATAATACATGACAACTCAATCCCTGCTTAGTGAGTTTGAGGAGCTTGGGATAGGATCCAGCACCTGGCTGCCTGGGACACCGCAAGTGTCCAGCTCTGAGGTAGGGTTGCCCCCGGACAGAGGCCGGGCCCTGACAAATGGGGGCTCAAAAGGCAGCATCTCCATGGGGTTCAAGGTCCCAGTTTGGCAACTTGGGTGCAGCCTATTCCCCATGGAAGTCAAAGGAGGAGTGGGAGCTGGTGGAATGGTTGTGTAAGAGTGAGTTGTCCCAATTGGAAATAAACAAATTTCTACAACTCTATTATGTGAGCATGCCTATCACCTGAAAATATCATAGTAGCACTCAGAACTACTCACCAACTAGACACGCCACCTTGGTCTGTCCTTCTCTTCAGTGAAAGAGATGTACGCTGAAGGAGAGAACAAAGGAAGGTCAGTTGGGAGGTTCAAACGAGACCACCACCAAGCTGTTCCCTGGTTTTTTAGTTAGGATGGGGAAGTGTACTAGTAATATTTGTTGTAATTATAGTACCAATCCGAGTGTTTTGGCTAATTCTATTTTTATGGGTTAGTCTAAAAGTTTCTGGGAATTGACTTACAGATAAACCGAGCCCTGCAGAGCTGTTCCTTTATTGAAATTTCTTAATTTGTCTAGGTGTAATTCTGTGTAGCATTGTTCAATTTGGAATTTAATTTGAATTAAATTTTTTATTTGGTGAAGTTTTAAAGATTCTACTCAGTTAATGGATTTAGATTGTGTCTGGAGTGTCCCTTGAGTTTGTTTTATTTTTGTTTTATTTTATTGCTTGTTTTAACAGTAGCAAAATAACTGTTTTGTGTTTACACTTTGAAATCTGGAGTGTTAACCAGCTCTCCTGTTGAAATATCTACTTAATATTTCTCTCGTGAATTGCTGCCTTTTACTACAGTGGCAATCTTAACTGCATATCACTTTTTGACAACCAGAAATGCTTGAGAAAAATAATACTCTATTTTCTTACTTCTCTGAGGGGGGGTGAAAAGTCGCAGAAAGGGTCTCCCTTTTATACTCCTTGGGTCGCCTTCCTTTTTCATGCTCTACTGCATATTTACAGGATTTATTTACAGTGTATTTTCCTCAAACTGAATAAAAAATGAAAATTTCATGCTATAGTTCTACTGCGCTTTGCTGCAGTGAACTGCGGCTCTACTGTGGTCAGACTGCACCTAGAATCCTTATTGTCCTTCCTCGCCTAAGCTATTTTAATGGTTAATTAGAACTTGACTGCACTGCATTTGTTGCAGTTTCCTATTTCAAATTCCTCATATTTACCATTAAATTAGCTATGACTCGGTGATTCTGAATTCAAACTTCGCATTACTATGTGTATGGCTGCGCTGAGACCTTCAGGTGATTTATTCCATTTTTATTCAGTGACATTTAGTTAAAATGAGACTTGAAATGGTAAATGTTAGAACGGGCGGAAACGGACGACTCCGGAGTGGAATCAGAGACTTAGCGTGGAGGGACCTTGGCCTCAGCGACTCAAGCAGAGCGCTGTGCCATTGCTGTTTGTCCATTTGGTCCTTAATTTCACAGTAGGTGAGCAGGAAGTCTCTTGGGGCATTTCAGGTCGATTTCGGACTAAACCAAAACGAGTATGTACAAGCGCCGATATATATAATGGAAGGGGCAAAAGCACAAGGAGGACAAAGGGTAACCGAATCGGAACGAAGACGTCCGAACAGGAACAAAGGGTAGAAGAAGCGGAGAGGTACCAAAGGTCATAAGGCAGGACCTGTGATACATCCGAAAGGAGGTAGGGAGGGCGAGGCCCAGAGGGGCAGGAGGATGAGGGGAAGTGGGGATGATGACTAACTGGCTAGAATAGAAAGAAGCAGTAGTCCAAATAGGGATGAGGGGAAAACGCGAGAAATACATTACAAGCGGCGAGAGGGCCGAAGGTGATCCGTGAAGCTCGGGGGTTGCGGAGCTTACGGAGGTTACGGAGGCGGGGTTGAAAGTCCGAGGGATATTGGCAATGGTGTTTACGTAGTATGAGGTCACCAATGCAATGGACTAAGACCGAGGTGGAGTCAAAGTCCGAGGTAGGGACTATGACGGAGGCTCGGAGTAAGGTACGAGTGGTGTCCGAGTGCGAAGTACGGAACAACGGTGGAAGGTCGTAACTTGGCGGAAGGGTGGCGGAGGAGTAGCAGAGGGAGGAGAGAGGGGAAAGGTAAGGAAGAAGGAGTGGCGGAAAGAAGAGTAGTCAGGTCCGAAGGTGAGTATCGGAGCGGACGGAGATAGGGTCGGAGATGTAAGGAGGAGGTGTGTTGCCAGGACCGAGGGTGAGTATCGGAATGGCAGCGGTAGGTTATGACTCCGGAGGTGAAGAGGGTGGAGGTCTGGAAGTCGGGTCGGGGTCGGGGTCGGGTATGTACGGATATGACAGTAAATGAGTGAATCATTCAGGTTTAAGACCGAAAGAAAAAGTTGCTAGTAGTCAAGAATTACTCAAATGAATGTATTATAGCTCTCCACTTCATTAGAATATTGTTCCCTGAAATTCCTGCCATGGTCCGTCATAGTTTAGTGGTTTTCGTGGATTTCATTCATCTTCCCTGGTTCCCCTTTGTATTATCACATCCTAATCCTCCATATGTATTGTTCGTTGTCATAGTAGGTCGTCCTCGAAGATATCATATTTTTATGTATTTTATTTAGGGCTCTGGACCTCTTGAAGCTGTCTTCCCATGCGTTTTCAGGTTTCTAACTTCATGTCCTTGTATCTCATTCATTTCTGGATGGTTTCTCACGTTCTTGGTATCATAAATTTTCATTTATTCCCACCTTTCCAATGGTACTAAGGTTGTGTTCTATTTCCTGGTATTCGTCGAGTTAGCAAAAGTTCGCACACACATTCGGTAATCATGTGCGTCGTTCCCATAGTCGTTCGTATGCAGGCGCTGTTTCTGTTTAATTGTTCGGGATTTATGGTATGCGCGGGTGTTTATATCTTTAATATGGGCTTCTGTAATTTATTTCAGATTTTTCCCTCATGATCTAAGGTTGTTTTGCACTTTCTGTGCTTTGTTTTGACCGGGCTCTTCCTTATTTGGACAGAAATTGGTCTTCACGATCTGCCGAAGTGTGGATCTCGGTTCCGATGGCCGGTTCCCTTCGCATTGCCACCCTCATGTGTCATTAAACATGATGCGGATTTCTATATTCCCATCATGGGTATAACTTCACAACGGCTGGACCGTTTGGGCTGTAAATTTGCATAACTATAGTTCCCTATTTTTCATAATTTCCGTGTAAATTTCGTTGTATGTTTTAATTATGGATCCTACGTAAACATCGTCTTTTCCCTGAGCTCGGACTTTTGATGTCGCTATTCCCGTTATTGGATATCTCATTATTGCATGATCCTTTTATTATGAAAATTTGGGTGGATTAAGATTAGATCCCTTCCTTTCTAATGGGCTATCAAGCTCGTCTCGGTCGTTACTGGTTAGTCTTCATGCTTGCTTTTTAAACGTTGTCCTCGTTTTGCAGGAGTTTTAGTCATATCTCTGTCGTTTATGGGTAGTTTTCCCTGTAATTACTTTCATTGGGTCCGTTTGGGGGACATCTACATTTCCTATCATAATTACGACTTTGAATTTTGCATTAGTTCCTGAGGAATCCTTGTTCCGTGGTACTTCCATCCTTGGCTACATGTGCGGACATGGGAAAGTAGTTTCTGTGGGGATTGTTTTTATAGTCAAATCTTGGCCGATTGTCCTAATTCTTTGTTTAATATTTGCTATAAATTCCCCCGAGAATTCCGTCTTGTTGATGCTAAGCTTGAAGTATTTTTGCTAATTCTCTTTCTTTCAATTTATCACGTATAGTCATAATAATTCGTAAAAATTCGTAAAAATTCATTAAAATTCAGGTCCTTATATTTTCTCATATCTACTTGTCGTATGGGATTTTGTGATTTATTTGGCATATTTCCATAATGGGTTTCCATAGTGTGACCGTCTCCTACAACGCAGTCATTTGTGACTTGCTTCCCAAAGGACCCCCCTTCCAACATGCAACAATCACGTTGAAAGATGCTCCTGATGAGCTTCATGAACTCTACTTCAGGGATATAGTCGCATGTGCAGCCCTCCTCTTCAGCAATCCAGACTACTGGGAGGAAATGGATTATGAACCAGAAGAACTATTTGTGACAAATGAGGATGGATCACCGTCAACAAATTGTGTGTATGCAGAGCTGAGTTCTGGTTGGATTTGGAATGAGGAACAGGTATGACGCTTACACAAAACTTAACTTTGTGACATACCATAATGAATCTAAATCACAGTGCAAACTAGAAGAAAAGGGGTTATGTCATATCCATCCCCAGCCATCGACTTCCACTCACTCTGATCCCTCCGGTCTACCTCCGCTCCTTCTTCACTAACCTCGGAGCTCCTGTATTCTGCAATCACCTCGGTACCCCTCGATGGTCACCACCCCCTCCTTTCAATTTATTACCTACGCCTCCCTAAGTATGGAGCCCTGAAGGCTTCTGGACAGCTCCGACGTCCGCTAGTGCACTCCCACCTCTGCTGGGCAATACACTCGCTTGCCCTGCAAAGCCCACCTTTGGGCCTATCCCTCCTTTCCGTTTCTGGGTTATCGCCTACCTGTTATGGAAATGGGAATTTCCCATTTTAGACTCTTATGGGTTCTGTATCACATGATCTGTATAGTAATTGAGTTTATCCAATCAATAATTAACCAAAAACCCGCTGTGCTAACATCTGTTACACCACATGTCAAACCATCTGTGAAACCACCTGTAAACCATTATGTCCAACCCCCTTCCCTATTCCTGCGCCAGAACGGACGAAAATGGGCGCTTCCGGCCCCATTTTTGTAACACTACCTTTCCGTTAACCCCATAACCCGACTTGTCGGTAATATTCAATCGGCTAATGTCTAATCCTGTTAGCTCCGCTCTGCTCGGCTCCACCATTTGTGGACCTGCCCTCGTTGTAACTATATATATACTCAACTTGTACATAGGTTACACCTCAGTAATAAAATCGACTAGAGTTTACCCCCTTCAGTTCTGGTTGCCAGTTTAGTAAGTTAGGGCATGGATGTGTTACTTGGCACAGTGCTCCTGGCATAAGTCACTGAGGCTGAAGCCCTCCACCATGGAGACACTCCCTCATCTCAACCTGGTCTCTGACAGGTTAGGTGACTCTGTCATATCCCGGAATCCTGACCCCGCGCACTCCCACCACACCACACCTTCCTAACAACTTCACCATCCCCTACACCATGCCTCCCCACTCCCCAGGTCACCTTCCTTCCTGACTGTCTCAGCTCCGGTCTGGTTGTGGCACACCGAACCTTGGCCACTCCCACCCCGGAACCTCGGTCCCGAGTCGGAACATTCAGAGACTCCGGATTTGCTCCGATATCCCGATGGACCTCTGACATCCCGTGACATACCCCTAAACCATTTCTCCACCCATTTCATTTATTGGAGTCACCCAACATCCTTTGGATATGCAACTCCGCTTTCAGAGCTACCTGCATCCTTTGGTGACCCCTCTCTCGTCATCTCTTATTAGTCACCTTCCATTCTTAGCACGACTATCTTCTTCTTACCATTCAGTCAGCTAACCCCCTCTTACCCATTTCTTGTTCCCATTCATTTTCCGGCCTCTTACTCCGGCCTCCTCGACCCAACACCTCGGTTCCCTGTTAAAGATATCGTTCAGGACCTTTCGGTGTTCTTCTATTATCATTCGGACTTTGACTAAGTCCTTCCCATTCCTCCTTATAAATACCTGTAGATTAGAACCTGTAGTTTTCCTCAGTTCTAATCTTGACTAAAATGCTACCCAAAGTCCCTCTGAGTGAATCCTGTTCCCTTTCTACAAGATGCCTCAGACATAAGAAATACAAGGACTAACTGAGATGTAACGGAGGCACAGCGCTCCCTCCAAGTCGCTGAGGCCACGTCCTCCTTAGAGCCTCTTGTACCATCCAGCAGAACCAGGCTTCCTGGAGAAGCTTCGGTCCACTACCGGAGCTCTCGGACCCCCTCTGGTTGAGCCCCACCTGCATTCAGACTCACGCATTTTCCCCCCCTATGATTCAGGTTTTTGACAGACTTGACCATACTGGCAATTGTGCTTGGCTCTGACAAAACTCACCTGACAAACTTTTCTGGCAACAAAAAAATGCACCCAATTTATCTCTCTTTGGGGAACATCCATAAGTCGGTGCAAAATAAGCCCAGCAAACGGGCCTGGATCCAATTAGCAAACTTGCCAATCAGCAAGTTCTCATCACAGGAGTTTCATGGAAGTCACTTGGCTGACGAGGCCAAGGGAATGCCTGGTCTCCTGCAGAAAATACTTTACCATGAATGTCTCTGCATAATCCTTAAGCCACTCCACAACTTTGCAGGATCCAAGCAGCCAATTGTTCCAATCCCCTTGCTTGATGCACAGGGAATGGTACGAATGTGTGTCTTGACCCTCATGGCCTGGATCACTGACTTGGAGGAAGTCCTAGACCTCCTTGGGCTTTGACGAAATGAGTGCCCGAAGTGTGTTGCCAAGTACAAGGACCTCGGGGGCAGCTGGACATGCAAGATGCGAACAGGCGAGGATATTCTGAGGGCACAGCATGAACTTCGGAAGAAGTACCCCAAGGCAACAACTTGGCAATTTTCAGTAAAAGCGAGGGAGCTAGGATTACTTGGAGTGGAGAACTGTCAGAGTCTGGAATGCTGTCAGAGACTGGAATATTGTCAGAGTCGGACAAACTGTCAGAAGATGGATGGTAGACGGATTGGGTTTCTGTCTGAGTTGGGGTCGGAGGTGATGCAGAGGTCTGTTGGAGCGCACATGTGCGGAAATGCGGGTGGAAATATGCGGCACGTCCGGAAGTGCTGTTCAAGGTTAGCAGAGTGGGATCATGGCCTCAGCAACCCAGGTGGAGCGCTGTGCCCTGAGCTTGACATTTGGGGGAGATCCCGTATTTACGGATTGACACTCACAGCGGACTTCAAACAAGACTTGCGGGCGGAGCGGACCTGTAGTAGGAGCATGGACTCCGCAAGCACAGACTCAGAGGGGGGGAAGCCCCCTTTGCAGAAGGAGAGACTCAGACCAGACAGGGGGGGTACTCTAGTTGATTCAGACTGAGGTCCCCGAAAGTATTTACAAGGTATAAGTAGGTAAGAGAAATCAAAAGAGGGACCGGTCGGTCCGGTGCGGAAATAAGCGGAAATGAGCGGGGACTTGTCAAACTAAACCAAGGACAAGAACCTGGGAAATGGGAGGCAAGGAATGAATAAGGTCAAAGCGGATCAAGTACCAATATTGACAGATTAAATGAATGAATAGGAAAGTGCAATAGCACATGGATCAAATGCCAATATTGGGGTGAACATAATAGGCACTCGGCAGGGAATGAATGTTATGTTGCCGAGTGACAAAAATGGCCAGAGGACAAAAGTGGAGGTCAGCGTGCGGTGCCGATACAAGTCCGCAAATAAGCGGGGTCGGTGCAGTGCCGACACAAGTCCGCAAACAGAGGTTGATCTGCCAGCACTGTCACACAAGGACAGCATGAAGGCCAACAGAGGTACAGAGGGGAGTGGGAGTGTTGACCTGACCAGAGGTGTCAAGGGCAACCAGAAGTGGCCAGAGGGTGCAGAGATGGGCAGAGGGTGCGGAGTGGGCAGAGGGTGCGGAATGCACGGAAGCGGGGCATGGCTGTGACCACATAGCGGGAAGCGATGAGTGTGGTTCAGATGGAGACAAGGCAGGCATGACTGAATGCCGGGAGCGCCAAGGGCTCAGGAACTGGAGGTAAGGTCGGAATACCGGCAGGGTCTAGGTTCTGATTATTGGCCAAGTCTCACACAGTAAGGCAGGGGGCCAGACATGGGGTTGGGGGCTGGTTAGGATGGGTTTTGGGTCAGCGGAATCGCCTATTGGCATTGATTCGCTGCTGACGGAGCCCCAGGATTTGTGGTCACGACAAGAACCTATGGTGGGAAGGGCTTTCCATAGACATTTGCCGGGTTCTGTGTCTCGATTTACTCCATGGGCTGCACAAATATATCAGTGACCACATGAAGACATGGATCAAGAATACAATCGGAGAGGATGCACTTGATGCCCGATTCATCACCCAGCCTTACTGAAAGGGCCAATGCACATTCCATAATGGAATATCAAAGATATCACAATGGTCTGGCTGTGAAAACCGTGACCTCCAGTGCCATCTGGCTGTTGTGGTTGCAGGTGCTTATCAGAAAGGGACAGTGAATGAAAGCTCACATATGATGCAGGCAACACACTCTCTGCTTGACTTATACAAAGCGCAGTTGCTGGCACACTCAGATGTCAGTTTGCAATCGATGATCGATGATTTGACACTTTACTATTCAAGTGTTAGAGTTTTCATTGACAACAGTGCATGCTGTAATGGAAGGGCACACCAATTCACCATTTCCGAATCCCCAAGCACCACAACCTCCATCATTTTGCCGATGACATACGTGATCATGGAACTATGGACAATGGTTCATCAGAGATAATTGAGGTGTTGCATATTCCCACTTGCAAAGTCACTTACCATGTGACAAATTGGAGAGCATACACCACCCAGATTCTTGATCAGCTTCAACGTGTTGATTCCCTCTCCATTTACTCATCAATTCTGGAAGCTAAAGGGATTAATCAGTCTCAGATTGATCAAGCTACTAAAGGGCTCTCACCTCCATGTGTGGATGCCAATGTGGGACTGATCACTGTCTCAAAACATCCACAATCTGTTGGGATGGCGGTTAATGCAGCATCATCCAAGTTCTCCACCCCAGACCTTGCATCAGCGATGCTATGTATGATTGTGACATGGGCCTCAGATATGGTCCAAATCGATACTATTATGCCAGTACCATGCCACTCCCACCACAAATTAGTTCAATTGATATCTGGCATGCCTTTAAACTTCAGCGCTGCAAGAGGGCTAGTGGCTCTCTATGCCGACTAAGCTCGTGGGGCCAAACTCTCCAAAACTCCTACTTCTTGACTAGACTTCGCTACGCTCTCGATCCTTAACTCCGTGGTGAGTTCTCCGGGATTTCCGCAAGGTCCGGGCTCAACAAATCCACTACCCACTCGTTGCAGGCTAGATTGTTGCCCTTATTCCTACTGTTGGAATTCCACACACTCACACCCTCTCTAGCGCATCCTAGCACCTTAGAGAATTTTTGGGGGAGGGGAGAACTTCTTTTCAAAAATCCGGTATGTACAGGATTATAAGAAATAATTATTTTTAGAAATAATAGATGGTGAATATTGGTACCATATGGCACCTGGGTACCTTATTAGGCGAAATAATAAAAAAGGGTAACAGTAACAATAAAAGAATATCAATCAATAACTGAAATGATGGCAAAATATGAAAATATAAGAAAATAAGCGATATCTCAACGGATTTATGGAATTATGAGCCGAAATTGGAAATGTAGCCGGAGGTAACTCTCACACAGCCGATAAACATTTTTACCAATTTATTAGACGCCGTGGGAACGAGTGAGGCTGGAATTCTGGGTTGCCGCTTGAGATTCCCACGCCCGCACATACTCGTGACCTTCCGTGCCTAACCTGTCCAATGCAGAACTCCATCAAATCTCGACCGATTGGGGCGTTCTTGGTATCGTCAGAATCGTACGAATTAGGACTATTTTTAGGTACCAAATTCCGTACCGAGTTGTCGCATGAATGGAAGTGGTTTTATAGTTGTGAAAACAGGTATCCGAGCCGGCTGTTTGTCCATTTGGTCCTTGATTTCAGTAGCAGTGAGCAGGAAGTCTCTAGGGGGCATTTCTGGTCGATTTTAGACTGAAGGTCCAAAACGAGTATGTACAAGTGCCTGTATATAGTGGAGAGGTGAAAGCACAAGGAAATTAAAGGGGTCCGAATTGGAACAAAGGTGTCTGAACGGAGACAAAGGGATGATGGAAGCAGAGCGGTACCAAAGGTCATGGGTTAGACTCTGTGGTACAACTGAAAGGAGGTAGGGAGGGCAGAGCCCAGAGGGGCAGGAGGATGAGGTGAAGTGGGGTTGGTGACTAACTGGCTAAAATGGAAGGAAGCAGTAGTCCAAATAGGGATGAGGGGAAAGTGCAAAAGATACATTACAAGCAGTGAAAGTGCTGGGTATGGTCCGTGGAGCTCAGAGGTTGTGGAGCTTATGGAGGTTGTGGAGGTGGGGTTGGAAGTCCAAGAAATGTTGGCAATGGTGTTTATGTAGAATGAGGTCACCAATGCAATGGACTTAAGCCAAGGTGGAGTCAAAGTCCGAGGTTGGGGACATGATGGGATCTCAGAGTGGAGGTATGAGCAGTGTCCAACTACAGGGTATGGGACTGTGTGTCAGGGCCTGGCCTGGGACCCGGAAGTGGATGGCACCCATAAAAGGAAAGACTGTACAGTTCCCCAGTTGAGCGGTGTGACTATAGGGAGGATCCGGGTGGCAGTACTCAGAAGGCATGGGAACATTCTGGGTGAGCAGCTTGCCCAGAACTGTGGCAGTGTCTGGAGGTCTTCTCACACTTCCCTGCTCACACAAGTGTACAGGGCAGTGAAACAACAACTGGTAGAGAAGGGGAGGTGGTGGTGTGGGGTCAGGGCTTGGGTGCTGGGCCCTGACACTGTGGCAGAAGGTCGTTTTGGCAGAGGTTGCAGAAGAGGGTCGGAGGGAGGAGAGTGATGAGAGGAGTGGAGAGGAGTGGAGTGGAGAGGAGTGGAGTGGAGAGAGGAACGGGGTCACATCCAAAGGTGGGTATCAGAGCAGATGGAGGTAAGGTAGGACTCCAGAGGCGGTTGAGAGGAGGGTCTGGAGGTCGGTTCGGGATTGGGTATGTATGGATATGACATCCTCCCTCTATATATACCTGTAGATTGGAACCCATGTACCCCCATTCTAATCTCAACTAAAACTTACCCCTCCCCTATGAGTGATTTGTGACCCTGTCCTACAAGATACCTCAGACATCTGAAATTAAGGACTAACTAAGATGTAATGGAGGCACAGCACTCCCTCCGAGTTGCTGAGTGTTATAGAAATGGATCTAGAATCTTATGGTCTGTGACTATAGGCAATCAGACTTTGGGATTCCATCACCTTATTTTGCTGTCAAACCCCATGCCAAGCTTTCCCACTGGGTTTTGGTGCTGGCTGGGGGATTTGTTGAGTTTCAAGGGATTTCCCTTGACCATTGTAATATTTATATTAGATAGTTATGAGTCATATGACATGTAAGGCAGTTGCCGGAATTGTTCCTTCCTTATCAAAAATACATAACCCCAAAACCTTGTACCACGATTGTAACTGCCACCATTGTGCCACCACTGTGAACCTTCCCTGTAACATCTGACTTGACCCATATTGATGTCTACATCAATCTTCTTACAATCTGTGAGAAAACCTCAACAGCCCGGTGAGTGCTCAGACACTGGACCTCACTCTTCCTGCTCCCACCCTCCCACTGGGTGGTTGAGCTCCTGTTCCTACCCTTCCTGTAGTACCCTACTGGGTCCTACAACCCTTCCTCCCTTCTTGGGAGGGAGAAGTGACTCAGGCAGCCCCAGGATGCCTGGCCACGTACCTGCAGGCCCATATTCCCACAGTCACTCACTACCATGCACTGGTCAACCAACCTGCCTGTCCCAACAAATCCCGCTACCAGTATGCTCCCCTGAGCACCAAGTAACCGATAGTCAACCACTGGGCTACTGTCAGGGCACATACCCTGACTTAGCCCGGACCCGGACCCATGTCCGGACCCACTCCACTTCCCGCACACACTTCCCACACCGCATGCTCCGGTCCCCGGATCCTACCTTCATGTGACTTCCGGGTATCCCCGGAGGTTTTCCTCATATTGTGGCCACTGTGGGAAAGTGAGAAGTAACCTTCAATCTTCTCACTTTCTTACCCACAGCAGGCAAGTTGTACTTACCTGCCTTTCCTTTTATACACTTTCTTACCCACAGCAGTTGTCAGAGACCAGATTCGAGACGAAGGAATGTCTCCGTAACGGAGGGCTTTGGCCTCAGCAACTTCTGCCAAGAGCGCTGTGCCTAGTGACATGTCCGTGCCCTAACTTACTGACTGGCAATTAGAACCTAGGGGGGTAACTCTAGTTGATTTTTCTACTGGGCGTAACCTATGTACAAGTGGGATATATATATGGTTACAGCGGAGACGGTTCCGCAATTGGCGGAGCCGAACGGAGCGGAGCTAACGGGGTTTAACATTAGCCGACTGAATATTACCGACGAGTCGGTTCGTGGGGTTAGCGGAAAGGCAGGCAATAACCCAGAAACGGAAAGGAGGGATAGGCCCGAAGGTGGGCTCTGCAGGGCAGGCGAGTGTATTGCCCAGCGGAGGCAGGGGTGCGCTAGCGGACGTCGGAGCTGTCCGGAAGTCTTCGGGGCTCCGTACTTAGGGAGGCGTAGGTAATAAATTGAAATGAGGGGGTGGTGACCATCGAGGGGTGCCGAGAGGATTGCGGAATACGGGGGCTCCGAGGTTAGTGAGGGAGGAGCGGAGTTGGAACGGAGGGATCGGAGGGACCGGAAGTCGATGGCCGGGGATGGATATGACAGCAGTCCTGCCCTGAGATGGGCTGTGTTTACAGGGTGGACTGTGGACTGTAGAGAGGGGTCATGGGGTCCCAGGGTCCGTCCCCTGACAGCTACTCCCTCAAGGAGTGCCAACTACCCACGCTACCGGTACGCTCACATGAGCGCCAAGTCACTGCTAGCTGACTGTTAGGTGGCTCCCTCAAGGAGCCCCCACTATACTCACTGCTGGTACACTCCTTGGAGTGCCAAGTTACCGTTAGTACACCTGGCCTTAGATCTCCTCCTGCTCTCCCTTCAACAGCTATGCAGCCACCTCCATCCATGAGCAGAACAGCTCAGGTTGGGTTCCCTGGAACCCATTCCTGTAACACTGCAGCTGCATCCTTCTTAGAGCCTCTTGTATCAGCCTGCAGACCCGGGCTTCCTGGAGAAGCTCCAGTTCACTACTGGAGCTCTCAGAACCCCTCTAGTTGAGCCCGTCTGCACTCAGACTCATTTCTTTGGGTTTTGACACAAAGTATGCTGGCTATTTCCATCTACTCTGCTTACCTAAGCCCCAGTGGCCTGGATGATCTCTGGTATTGTTCTGGAACATTCTATGTGATTCTATCTGTCAGAGACCAGGTTCGAGATGAAGGAAAGTCTCCATGGCAGAGGGCTTCAGCCTCAGCGACTTATGCCAAGAGCGCTGTGCCTAGTAACACGTTGTAACGGGTCTATCACCACTAGACTCGAGACAGAAGAGAGGGGAGGGTTGGAGTGGTCGCTTGCACAGGTTTTGTTAACTGGGTGTGGATTCCGCTACTCCTCACTGTCTAGCTAACTATACAGCTGGTCACGGTATCACGGAAGAATCCGGAAATGACAAATAAGGAAAGAACAATAAGAAAGAGAAACATTGGGCTCTAGTGACTAGAAATGGAATCAGAAAAATCAGGAAAAATAAGAAATATGCAGGAGAGAACATTGGCTAAGGGCAGTAGAATCGCGGGATTTGGCTTGTTTATGGTACACCAGCAAATCCCCGTTACAACGTCCGTGCCCTAACTTACTAACTGACAACCAGAACTGAAGGGGGGTAACTCTAGTCATTACTGAAGTGTAACCTATGTACAAGTTGGATATATATATGGTTACAGCGAAGACAGGTCCGCACATGGCAGAGCCAAACGGAGCGGAGCTAACAGGGTTAAACATTAGCCAACTGAATATTACCGACGAGTTGGGTTGCAGGGTTAACGGAAAGGCGGGCGATAACCCAGAAACGGAAAGGAGGGATAGGCCCGAAGGTGGGCTCTGCAGGGCAGGCAAGTGTATTGCCCAGCGGAGGCGGGGGTGCGCTAGCGGACGTCGGAGCTGTCCAGAAGTCTTTGGGGCTCCGTACTTAGGGAGGCG